CACCATCCGTCTCAGGAATCTCCTACTTTACCCGAGTCCACCGCCACGGATTCTGGCTACTACAGTCCCACCGCTGGAGTCCCTCACGGCTACTGCTCGCCCAGCTCCACCTCGTACGGGAAGCCTCTCAATGCCTACCAGTACCAGTACCCGGGTGTAAACGGATCCGCTGGAAATTACTCGACAAAATCTTACACTGATTACAGCTCGTACACGACCCCCGCCTACCACCAGTACGCGGGGACTTACAGCAGAGTGCAAGCCCAGCCGAGTCCGCAAGGTAAGGACCGCACATTTATCCATTATAATAATAAATAAAGACCAGATAATTAGTCCATTTATACCGAATAAGCGTATTGAAAAACGTGTCCTTGTTTTATAATTTATAGTATTTTCTTTTTGCATTATAAAAAGTGCAATACAAAGCTGAAGGAATAAATAAAGAATACTTTGTATTTTGTTATGTTTTCTAAAGAATACATCTGTTTTAAAGATGTGATTTTAAAATATAAAGGAAATACATGGCTATTGTTTTTTGCCAGCCTAGAATGCATTTATAAAATTGGATTTTCTTTGAATTCACGAGATAATATAGGCGACAACACCCAGAATAATATTTTAAATACAATGCGAATGTTACATGCAAACGTGCTTATTCTTGCTGTCATTATTTTTAACAGAAAAAGAAATCAGCGAACCCGAAGTGAGGATGGTGAACGGCAAGCCGAAGAAAGTGAGGAAACCCCGGACTATCTACTCCAGCTTCCAGCTCGCCGCCCTGTCGAGGCGCTTTCAGGGCACGCAGTATCTGGCGCTGCCGGAGAGAGCCGAGCTGGCCGCCGGGCTGGGACTCACGCAAACACAGGTGAGATTTAAATCAACATTTGTGTTAGACATTTTTCATAGCTTGACATTTTTGTAATGCCCCTTTGTTTAAATAAATAATAAGGACCGTTTTGGTGCGTTATTTCTGTGCGCCTTTACGCACCGCTCCTCCTCTGAATCTACTGTTCCTGACGTTATATATGAGATATTAATGCTGCTGTTTTTCCTCTTCCAGGTAAAAATCTGGTTCCAGAACAGGAGATCAAAACTGAAGAAAATCATGAAAAGCGGAGAGCTTCCACCTGACCACAGCCCCAGCTCCAGCGACCCCATGGTGTGCAACTCTCCACAGTCCCCGGCCGTTTGGGACACACAGGCCCCCTCCAGGCCGCACAGCCTGCAGCCACAAAGCATCAACACCACGGCTTCTAACTTTTTGGAAAGCTCGGGCTCATGGTACACCTCAGCCGGCAGCTCCATGGCCGCCCACCTGCAGACCCCCAACTCGATACAGCACTCGTTGGCTCTTGGAGCAGGGACGTTATATTGAAAAAACCCTGTTGTTCATTTCAAATCTTTTTTTGTATCCTTCTATGGGACTCGTGTTCAAATTTCAGAGGAATATGCAATGTATTTGATGACAGTCATAGAAGAAACGTGTAAAATGTGTAAATGTGTGCATGTAATTTATTGCATTTTGGAAGACTATTAAACGTTTAAATGGACAATGGAACTTTTAATTCTCCGGCCTCAATGCAGTCTCTTGTTATTTAACCTTCTATTATTTACACTGAAAATCACGACGAAGACTCACACACATAAATAATGTTTGTGAGCCTCAGGTGACATTTCCACACAAGGTTGTAAATCACAGCTGCTCCGTATTGAGATGAATATAGAAAACGTCAACATTTGTATTTGTTATCCGCTTGAACAACTACAATATATATTTATTCTGTCATGATTTGTATTAAATATTACGCAGATAGAATCAACAATTGTCCTGAAGATGGGATGAAAAAGATCTGCCTTTTCGTGAGGAATGTGCCTTGATTTCCCCTCAGACCAGGTTCATTTAAATCTGCATTTGCAATGATGTGGAATAAAAACAATTACAGTTAAAATGTATGACTTTATTTAACAGACATTAGGTAAAAATGTAAATACATTTATGAGAAAGCATGGCAACAAGCCTCCATGCGGAATAATTACAATCCTTCATTCAATACCGGTGTTTCTTGAACTACGATTGATTGCTATTTTATATAATATTCCTGTAATAATCTTGCTAAATATCATTATTATAATCCTAAAATATTTTATAGTGTTTGTGAAGTTGTGTTCTTATAAGTGGCTATTTTCCTTGATTGTATTTGTATACAATCTGATTAGGCATCATACCCCAATAGTGTTATTATTATTATAAAATTCACATTTTAAATTAACTCATTGTTACAATAATCCCACAGTATTTCCCCCGTAACAAATGGTATTATTATTATTACTATTATTAATACTATTATTTTCACTGCCTCTGATCAACACCAGCATGATCACCTTTTATCACTCGTATTGTTTTTTAGTGGGTAGCCTGATTGAGCCTTTCAGTCGGTTCCTGTTCGTCTGTAAAGAAAATGCCTGCTCCTCGCAGCAGACAGTCTGCAGTCGCTCTCGCTTTGTGTCCCCTACAATTAGCCGCTTTGAATGCAGAGAGGAGGCGAGGGGGGCGGCACGGAGATCTGAGACAATCCGCATTCCTGTGGGGGTAGACCGGCTCCAGAGCTCTGCCACTCCCGGCCGCAGCCCACCTTCCGGGTGAAATAAAAAAGAGAGAAGAAAAAGAAAAGGAAAATCCCCCACAATTTCACCATGTTATTAGCAACCAGTAATACCAGCGCAAAAACCACTAAACAAACCAGTGGCACTGTGGGAACATTGGGGATCTGAAAATTGATCTAATTGATTTTGCCCGGCCATATGCAAAAAGATCATACAAGTGAGATCTCACACACACACACACACACACAACACACACACACACCACACACACACACACACACACACACACACACACACACACACACACACACACACACACACACACACACACACACACACACACACACACACACACACACACACACACACACACACACACACACACACAGTAAACAACACTGCATCTGACCCACACACTGACCCATGCATGTTACCATTTCCACCTGACACAGAATCCTCTTCCTGATTGCAGTCTAACAAACTTTACTCTCTCTCTCTCTCTCTCTCTCCTCTCTCTCTCTCTCTCTCTCCTCTCTCTCTCTCTCTCTCTCTCTCTCTCTCTCTCTCTCTCTCTCTCTCTCTCTCTCTCTCTCTCTCTCTCTCTCCCACGCACACACGCACACACACACTTAATCTACAACGCCATGCACCGTGCATGTTGTTGTTTACAGCCTAATTTCTGCTGTATACTAAACGGTAGTCCTGTAATTACAATGCGAGCAGGTCACTCCCGAAATGTAGTTTTTTTTCACAATGCACGTGCATGATGTCAAGAACACTCAGGTGCGCGCACAGATGCACATAGGCAACATGTGACGGGTTGGGAGTGAGAACGTGTTGTTATATCACACACAAACACAAAAACACTATACTGTATGTCCTCCACCATCAAACTCTCTCTCTCACACACACACACATACACACACTAGTGCCATTATATCGAGAGCCCCCGTTTATTTCCAACCGAACATTTCCCACTCAGCTAGTTTCCCCCCGTTTTGCAAATCGAGTCTAAATAATGACAGTTAGTTTTACTGGACAGCTTCAACTGTAACACTCCACAATAATTATTCTCCAGGATTAGGGCCTCCATTATCATAATCTGGACATTGACAATTACCTATAATTTGCAAAGATGCGCTTGGTTCTTGATTGCAGAGGGCTTTTTTTTCCCAAGCTCGCCATCACTAAACAGTGACAGTAATAACAGCTAATTTTGCAGGCAATATATAAGAGCTTACCGGGGTGTGCAAACACTTTCCCACCTGGATTTGCTTATTCAACCACCAGCAGTAAAACCGTGCAGACCTGTTTTGGTTATCTGTTAGACATGCGGAGAAAGGTAAGGATGAGTCTTATATCTCCTCTGCTGTGACTGTTGCTTATATTTGAGGAGGCTGTGACATTGCATGTTACTCCTCAGCTTAATCATGTTGTTTCCTGCCAAATTGAACGTTTTCCTCATATCTTATTTGCAATTCTATTTACTTGAGATACCATTTGGATTGTGTCTGTGTTTATGGAGGTTGTTCCGGCGCTGTTGAGCCGTACAGTTATGTGGTGAGATCTTGTCAGGTGTAGGAGCTTTTATAGTCTATGTGAAGCTTGCTGCATGTGCTTTACTGCTGATATAGCGCACAGAGCAATACTTGACACATCCCTCCCTGCACCCCCCACCCCATGTCTGTCACTCTGCTTCACTTATATCTCTATCTATCTATCTATCTATCTATCTATCTATCTATCTATCTATCTATCTATCTATCTATCTATCTATCTATCTATATATATCCATATCTATCTATCTAATCATGTTTATCTGATTGATCTGATGTATCTATATAATAATTTTTATCTGATTTATCTCATCCATCTATCTATTTATCTGTCTAATCATTTTCATCTGATTTGTCTCATCAAAGCATTTTTTTTTTTCATTTGCAAAACAAGATGAAACGTGTCAGTCTTTGGAGCTGAATAACCCAACTGCGTATTTATGAGCTTTGTTGATGTTTACTCGACTTCTGCTCCGGGCTCCCCTGCAGCCTGCAGATCAGGGTGTTCATGGCCCCTGAGCAGATATAGGCCCCTGCAGGCTGGGGGCCCAGGTATATCGGCTGAATGTGCACCAGTGGGACATCCGCGACTTGACAGCTGCATGAAGCTTTTCAGCTTGTAATTTCAGATAATATCCCGAGCGCTCACTCTTCTCAGCAATTTGTATGTGAACAACCGAATAATTTCCCCCTTTGTTCCATCTGTGCTACCTCAAATCCAAATAAAGATGCCTTTTAGTATTAAAAGTGGTAGAAAATTACAGGTAATTATCTTTGACGGTAAAAACGCTGTAATCAGCGGGCTACATCAAAAATTACCCTAATTATGCCTCCATTTATGAGAATGGAAAAAAAGCCTCACTTGGATAAAAACCCACAAATTGTCCCAAATATCTCCTTCATATTGAACGCCGCTGCAGCTGGCTGCTTTGTTCAACATCGATCCCGTGGAGCTTGGCATTTAACGGCCTGCATTAGGACGGAGAGAAGGGAGAAAACATTTTGTCAATACTTCTAATGATTGGGGGTGAAATTACAAGATAAACTGGACCTGGAGTTTCGAGGTGAATGTAGACAGCAGTGGGGAAGGGTAAGTTCATTTCCTCCGGAGCATTTGATAATTCATACTGTGGCGTTATTCAGCTCCATTAAGCGCTTTGGATTTATTTAAATCGTTTACTCTGATGAAATGGGCTTTTCACTGAGCACTGTGTCATTACCTTATGTTCTTTTTGTATGTTAGAAACTCGTACACGCCAGTAGAATGGGAAGTGGGCCTGGTAGAATGTGATGTTGGCCCAATATGAAGCATAAAAAGGCCTAGTTTAAAATGAATTTGTGAAATCATGCAACAGCAGGCATCTGTTTTGAGTCACGGTTTACTCAATCTGACAAAACATAAAAAGAGTATGTACAACTAAAATCGCAGAGTATATTTACAGACAGACAATTTGCTTGATTTTGCATGTTGGAGAAACAACCAAAAAAAGCAGTCAGGAGTCCACCATGGCGACAGGCTCTGGGCGCCAGTGCGCATGGAGAGTGTAAGCAGTCTTTGCCCAAAATGGCTAAAATGTCACTGATAATATTTGGTATATTGACGGTCAGATGTTGACATGAATGAAAGCATAACAAATATGCGAGTCCCACTGCACAGCCATACGTTAAAATGGTTAGTTCCCTTTGTGTCATCACACCGAGGCATGGCTGCGTTTTTATCCTTCGGCAGAGGAGCAGCAGAGGGGGTTTTCTTCCTCTCCAGTTCTGCGCTGACACAAATTGTAGGCTACGTTGGAAACTGCATGGCGGAGATCCGGAGGCCTCCAGACAGCTCACTGACCTTCCTTCCTCCTCAGTCTATCTCTGCATTGAATCTTGGTGTGGGGAGGAATACCAGTGAGAGTAGCCGGGCATGTAGCTGTTGGCCGGCATGTTTACTCCTTTGGAAGAGGCAGACACGTCCCATATCGGAGGGATGGTCGGGGAGCGCGGGGAGAGGGACATGGAGGCCGGCATAGGGTCGTTCTCGTGCGGGTTGATGCCCGCCTTGAGCAGTTTCTTGAACTTTGACCTCTTATTCTGAAACCAGATCTTAACCTGCAGGAGAGAAGGGCGAGGGTAATTAGTGGAGGATAAAGAGTTGAGTTGTGAGAATGTTCCTGCAAAATGCATGATTACATTTAGGATTAATTCTCAAAATATCACTACAAAAACAACCAAATAATTAGAAATAATTATGATATATATTGTAGTTTTATTCTTGATGGTTTGCATGTGTTAATGTTAAAATCCAGAGGGTAAATTCCTCCTCACCTGTGTTTGTGTCAGTCCTAGAGAAGCAGCCAGCTCGGCGCGCTCCGGTAAAGCGAGGTACTGTGTTTGCTGGAAACGGTGGTTCAGTGCTTGAAGCTGCAAACTGGAATAAATTGTCCGAGGTTTGCGAATCTTCTTTCCTTTCCCATTAAAACGAATCTCCCCGTTTTCAATCACCGTCGTTTTCTGCTCTGCAACAAAAACAACCAATGTTAATATTCAAAACCACAGCCTGCATTTTTTTTCAGAAGAGGAAAATACAAACGTGTCCAAACAGCAGAGATATTGCGTGAAGATACATTCAGAGACGCCTTCTGAAACTGTCCAAAAATTAAAATTCCTGCCGATAAACGCTGACATCTCACATTGCCTTTAAGCGCCGTGGCAGCCACAATCCTCATACGCTGTCATATTTAGGATATTGCTGGTAATGACATGTCAATTAAATGCTAATTACAACATTCAAGGCGTGCGGGCTGCCTAATTTTCACGAGTAGTTGGTGAGGATTGCACGGTCGTGATGATCACACCCCGGGCATTAAAACTGGTTTTGAGGGGAGTGCTAAACGGGAAAACTAAACAGGCAGAGAAGGTATAACAGGCTGCTCCTCGCATTATCCGGTGCCGTTTACGCACATTTTTTCTTCGTTGTAGTAGCACACCTTGAAAGATCCGAGTTTGGAGTGGCCGTGACTTGGGCATGATACCAACACGAGCAGGGAGAAAGGTTAGATCCCCATTGTGGGTACTAAAAATGCACTGGCCGGGGATGGACATTTTCCACTTGGCTGAAAAGGGGGTCTCTTACCTGTGCCGTCTAACCTTGTCTGTCCTCCCGTGTTGTTGTGATAGGATGGCAGGTACGGGCTGTGGTGCGGATGGCTCACGTAGGGGTAGGGTAACGACCGGTTGTAGGTGTTGGTCCCGGTGTACGCGGTGTTGTCGTGCTGGTGGTGCGCGTGTGAGCCGGAGTGGAGACAGTGCAGCGGGTAGTGGCCGCTGGCCATCGACGGGGAGCTCTGCTGTGAGTGCGACTGCTGCCCAAACTCCATGAAAGCAGACTTGGACGAGTCCTGAGCCTCCAGACCGTCAGCCATCGTAGTCATGGTCATCATCGAATTTTCTGCCTTGAGAGCACTCACCCCCCTCTCTCTCAAGACCAAATCGGTTTTCTCTCTCTCGCTATGCTGTTGTCTCTCTCCCCTCTCCACCGCGAACATATATTGTCCTATTAACACCCGAATTTTCCAGAGGCGTCTTTATTTCCCCCCTTGTCGTGTGATATTCTCACTCAAAGTGGCGGAAGGTATAAGTTAAGGGAAAGATTTTAAGGTGGATTCTGTTAAAATTGAGCCCTTGCTTGCAGACTTGATGCAGACACTACAAGTAAAATGGTTTGTCTCCAAAGGGCAGCGCCTCCCGATTGGTCATCCAACCCAACGTCATCAGTGCTCTGCGCTTCACGGAGACTTGAGCTGGAGTTAACCCACCTTACCAGCTCCCACCACAACTATGGGGGAAATGATATACGGTGGGAAAGACGCATAATTCCTACAGACAAGCTTCACACGTAAAACCAGCTCTTTCGCAATTGTCGAGTCGATTTTGTTTTTTACCCAAACCCCCAAATTACGCACGACGCTCAACATAGAGCGCGCACTTTGATTTAGCCTGACGAGCCAACACTTTATGTGCCTCTTAACTCCTCCTCTCTATAAATTAATAATTTATAGTAAAGAATCTTACAAACATACTTTTGAACAATATTACATTCTAAATGATTTTGTATGCCAAACGGCAATACATGATATACAAGATGCATATAACGAATATACCCCCCTTCACAAGTCATCTCTAATCGTTAAGACGTATTATATATTTGTTTTAATCTCATTTATAAACATTCATAAATGAGTGGGAAAAAATCCCATCGTATTTAATTCACATGTAAAGTTTTATTTTACACACACTTTATTTATTTATATAGAGAAGTGGTCATGGTTTATGTCAGGGAAACTACTGAAACAGGTGGAATAGCCGTAAAAATAAGGATAAGTAGCAAACAACCCACTTTTTTAGTTTACAAATAAGAACTTTTAAATGAAAAAAATAAATGCTTGTTAAATATCTTGTTTTCTTTGCAGTGCAGTATTTTTCCTGGATGTCGCCTAATGAGCAGTCCCTCTTTAAGCCCCCCTCTCCACAGAGAGTAACATATATTATAACTGTTCGTTTTCCCTTGGGCTACTGACCATATGATTAGGGATCTTCACACAATTCAAAATACAGCACATGTGACACATCAAATAACAATATGCCTGAGGTACAATAGGTTATTTTGCACATAGAAGGGTGGATACCGTGATAAACTGACAGTGTCTTTTATCCCTGTTGTAATATGAGGCCTCATAGGGTCCTCAATATATGTAAATTATACAGTTTGCCTCTGAGGGCTGTGATGTTCGATCCGCATATAAGAATAAAATGCTATTTCTGCTTACATTAATGCAATAAGTATTCAAATCGTGTTTTGCGACACTTTCAGCACACATTTTGCCGCAATGTATCATTCAGCGGTTTCACCAAAAAAAAGGGCGATACAAAATAATTATGGTTGCAATCAAGTTACTACAAAAACCTATTTGATTAGCGGCCACACTTTGCTCAAATTGCAGCTATAAAATTAAGAACAATTCGCCTGTAATGATTATGGACTGGATTTATTTTGGGAGGGTGGAATAAAAGTGGATATAGCATAAATTATCCCCTAATTATACGCCAGTGTCGCCTCAATTATCCTCTTATCAAAAATGGTTGTCTAAATGCAGCGTTTAGTTTCAATTTTCTCCTTTTCTGTAACAAGAACTTGGTACCTTGCTATTATCGTCAGCTACGGTTGTTATTTACTTTGTGGGATTTAAAAGTGCACAACCCAGCCGGATAATCATTTTACAGCAGCGGATCAGGAGAGGAGCACAGGGAAGCGAGCCTAAGACATCCAGACGGACTTGCTTTTTAGCCTAAGATCCATTTCAATTTTATTTTAAAAAACCAGGGTGCTTTTTTTGATCAGGAGGGCTGCAGGTAAGAGCTTCCTTTGAATGCTCTTTTTATGTTCTCTGACACTGATGAATGGTTTTATTGCCTCTGACGATTCTGCATTTTACGCACAGAGCAGTGTCCGTGCAGAGCTCGCAGGAGTCAGCACACCTTGGTCACCCCTCAGTGATCTAACACAGTGGCCAATTCCCCTGCCCGTGTTCCACTTGGACACGCAGAGGAGAAACCAGATCCTGTACCTTTTCTAATCGCCTTTCAGTGCTACAAAGACATACATGCTTTGCAGTGATGTCAGTTGCTTTTCCCAGTGGGCTAAAATATCCGGGCTCGATTAAAATTGAGGCATCTTTATTCTTCAGCTCTTATGTTTTTGCAGGATCGTCTGCGTGGGGATTATTACATTGTGGGATAACTGCGCGGGTAATGTCAAAGTCTTGGTGTCCCGCAGGCGTGTTGGGAGGCTTTTCTAAACACACTGAGATTAAGGGAAGTGTTGAAGGGACGGATTTGTTTGAATAGAGAGAACATGACATACTCGACCTTGGTGCTTTTGAAATGTTTAAGATGTTGCATGCTGACAACCGTGTCTAATTGCAAGACACATGAAGATACAATCGGCCTTTACTGGATGTTATCAGTGGACGGAATTCATAAACCATCAATTCGTTTCCTTTCAAAAAAACAATTGTGTAAAATGTTCTTATATTTCTAAAATGAGACATTATGCCTCAAACGCTCCACCTGCTGTTTCAGGCCCCCCTGTTGTACTCTGCTCTATTAGGAGTTCATAGCCTTATTCTGGAGATAAATTATTTTATATTTCAATATATTTCACACATCACTTTGTCCCAAGTAGATGATTGACCTTCAGCACAATCAATGGCCATGCTGGTTTAACAGAAGTGGTCTTTATTTCCAGCTGTCTTACACACGCTGATGAATGACTCTCTAAAATCACTCCAAGCCTGGGATTTCCCTCACATCCACTGTCTAACTCGGCATACATGAAACGTGAGAATATTTTACATCGCGTGTGTAGATGTAACCTGGCGTTATTCCATGGTTAACAAAGTCACTGTAAATTTAAATATTCTAAAGGCGGACCGGTTGGTGATATCAGTATCCGAGGCCCTTTACGCACGTTTAAATAGAGAGCCGCACAAAAACAATAAATAAAACTAGTTTCCCATTTTTCTGTCCTTTCTGTCACTGACGACTTTAAATCTTCGCGTCTTTTCTGGTCTATCTGGTCCCATGTGTTAATCATAACTGAGCGTTAACACAGAGCTCCAGCAAGATGCTGGTCATAATTGTAGCGAGAGGCTGGGCGTTTGCGGTCGGTCCCTCTAACAGCTATTGACTGGCTCGCATGGAAAGCCACCTCCTTTGGCTGCTCTCTGGGATCCGGGCGGTTTGGGGACACTGAGGCTACTGCAGAGAGAGACCGGGAGGCACTTAAACAGCATGTCTCCCCTCTCCGCAGCGCGAAGCCACTGGTTCGCCACAGACAGCCAGGCGGCGACGGCTCTCCATATCTGCCGCGTGAAGGGCCGGAAGTGGCTGGGAGAAGAGCAGATGCATACTGCACACAGCTGTCAGTATAACATGGTTCATGGTAACTAGATTTAGAGGGAGCATCCCCTAAGACACACACCAGGCCAACAATGATCACCGATCAGCCTTTAATGCTCCAGTAGAATTCATCCGTGACCAAATGGTGGCGCGCCCGCTTTTACGCACACTAATGCAAACCCACTTATGCAAAGCTTTGATGTGTTTTTGTGAAAGCGTGCAACTACACCAAGAAAAATTAGTGCGGTTTTGTCATAAAGGAAACCATGCGCTCCCGGGCACACGACTGTTTACAATAAGTTTTGCATCATAAATTAGGATTGCATTATCTCTCCAGTAAATGGCAAAATTGGCATATGCATGGCCCCAGGTGCAGGAGAGGGCCTTCAGATAGACCCAGCGTAGCGTGTTGGTAGTGGAGTTAAATGACCACAAATAAGCAAAGGCCTGCACCACTGAGTCCTCACAGCCTCTCATAGACTAATGGATTTAATTTGGCACGACTGAAGCCGCACTGGTCCCACTCAGGGCCCGAGTCCTAATTAAGACTGCTTGTTTCTCCTGTCGCCTCCTCAACTGAATATTTAGGGCCAGCTGACTGATTGAATCCCTCGGTTTCGTTTAGCAGTCATATTGTTTTTTACGTTGTCATTTGTCTTTGAAATAGTGAAAATAAGCATTGGTTACGTTTAATAATGGAAATTACTGCAATGTCTTTAACTATATGGTGACATTAATCAATACAGGTTTTGAAATACACTTTTTAATCTTATTCTCAGAATATAATATATTCATCAATTAGGGCTTAATGCTGCTTGTTAATGTCTATTAGCTATATCTGGTTAAAACGCAGAGCTCTTTGATCCTATTCCAAGCTATTAACAAAGGAGCTATATCCAAAAAGTTGATCTGAATTTTATGTTGGTGACAAATAAGACCATAGTTCCCTTTTTTCCCTCTCTCGACTTAATACGCGACATTATTAGGTCTGACAGCACAGTGGTCGGTCTTGAAGGAGAGGATTTGGTCGATAGATGACAGACAGGAAGGCCAGCAATCATGGGCTCTTTTTTTTATCAGAATGTACTGTTCAATGCCGTTTATCCCTGATGATAGAAAATTGCTCTGTTGCCAGGACGCTGCCTCCGAAATAGAGGGCAGGAGCAACATTTCCATTTTCCTGTTTGAAAGCCATTGAAATGAATTAGTAAAAAATTGAGAAAAAATATGAAAAATGAGAAAGAATCCCCTGGTAAACAAAGGAGAGCAAACAAAGATACCATTTTCTTTTGCCGAGAATCCACCCTCCTCATTTCCCCCGTTTTTTTCTTTCTTCCTGCAGCAGAGAGAGGGTTTTACTTCAACAGTTGCAAATCACATGCTTGGCTTCTAATGTAGTCCAAGGCCCGGGCCTACTTCAAAGACTATCATTTATTTCCCAACCTCCAGGAATAATTAGAGCGCCTTTTCATCTGTCGTGACCGAGAGAGAGAAAGAAAGAGAGAGAAGGAGAAATTAGGACATAATGACAAAGAAGAGCATTAAACAAACTACTGAAATGTTTCTTCATGAGTACAACCTGTCACATCGGAATAGTGAACATTATAGGACGAAATCTGGTTTTTATCAGAATTAAGAAAGCGTTTGGAACGCAAAATATAATAGGGGTCCATTATTTCCCTGTTATTGTTTTGTGTGCTAATCCCAGGCGTTTGCGTCGAAATATTATAAATAGTAGTAGCAATACTTGTATTATTTGTATTAATAGTAGGATTTTTAGGTTAATGTTGGTTGTTTTGTTGTTAATGCTCGCCATGATCATCCCCATTGCATTCATTAGTTCGTTTCAAGTGTTTAGTTCGTGCATTAAAAA